CACGGCAGCGCCGGCTCCGGCTTCGCCCGCATCCCCGTGGTGCCTGCGTGCCAGCAGAGCCCGGCCCCCAGCCCCGCGCCCGCCGCACCGGCCCCCCCCATGTACTGTAACGCCCCCCACCCTGCTCCCGTCACTGCTGGGATGTTCCGGTCGCACGGGGCCAGCACGCAGACAGTGAACAGCAGCGTGGTCTCCTCCTGCTCAGAGGTGAGTCGGGCTTGGGGGGGCTCCCAGTGCCTTTGGCGTAGGGGAGCAAAGCTGTGCACTTCGCAGCCCTGCTGTGGCGATGCCTTTCCCTGCCTCAGTTTCCCCACGTGTGGATGGAACAAGGGTGTCCCCCTGCCCAGTTTGCAAAATGCTCCCAGGTCCCGGGGAGGGGTTCGGGGACAGGGTGTGATCCAGGCTCTTACTCTGCTCATCTTCAGGCCCTGCCTGCCCCCACAGCCGGGCAGGAGCTGCCTGCCAGCGCTCTCTGCTGCTCCTTCCCTTTCCCCTTTGCGCAGCACAGCTGACCCGGGGGGGGCGACTGTCAGAACCCCCAGGGCTGGGGACACCAGTGCACAGAGGGGTGGGACAGCCATAGTTCTTGTGTCGCAGCAAAACTGGGGCTGGTGGTGCCTGCTGGACCCTGCTCCCTGCCTGGGGCTGCTGCGGGGGTCTCCTGACCTGACCTGGCCATTCATGGGGGGCAGAAGGGCTGGAGCAGGCCTGCGTGCCCCCCCGGTGCCCCAGCACGCCTGGGTCCCCTGCCCGGAGGCTGATCCTGCGTCTCTCCCGCCTGCCCAGGTGGACTGCAGCACCCGCAGCAGCAGCTCCCCGGGCAGCAGTCCTGCTCCCACGGCCCGATCCCGCAAACCCGGTGCGGTCATCGAGAGCTTCGTCAACCACGCGCCTGGGGTCTTCTCAGGGACCTTCTCCGGTACGTGATGCTGAGCCTCCCTGGGGGCTGCAGCGGAGAGACCCGGGGGGGGATGTGGGTCTGGGGGAGCTGCTTGTCTCACACCCACCTCTTCCCCCTGCAGGCACTTTGCACCCCAACTGCCAGGACAGCAGCGGGCGGCCGCGGCGGGACATTGGCACCATCCTGCAGATCCTGAATGACCTCCTCAGCGCCACGCGACACTACCAGGGCATGCCCCAGTCCCTGACGCAGCTCCGCTGCCAGACACAGTTCTCCTCCTCCTCCTCCTCGCCCCCCGCCTCCCCGGACCTCGCCACCAAAACTACCTCAGAGCCACTGCCAGCGGCCGCGGCCTCCCCACCCCTGCACCCCGTCGTCCAGTGCCAAAGCCAGATCCGGATGTGCAAGCCCAGCGGTAAGCCCAGCTGCCTCCATGCCTCGCGTGGGAGGGGGCCGCTGCCAGCCCCCCGGGTCTGCTGCATGCCAGGGGTGCCTTGACCGGCCGCGCTGCCTGCGTGCTGCCTGTACGTTGTGGCGGTGCCCAGTGCCGGGAGCCCACTGGGGTTTGGGTTTGGCGTCCGTGGTGTTGTCCCATCCCGCTTGGGTCTGTAGGTGTTTGCAGCCAGGATGGGCAGAGAGGGGCTGGGGAGCCCCTGCAGCCCGCTACCCTCAGCAGGGCCGGAGCTGACCTCCTTTTTGCATGGGGTCACTCCCCACAGCAGCCCCCGCTCCCACAGAGCCTGGTGCTGCAGGGTCACTGGAGCCTCTGGTTTTTATACAATTTTTTTTTTCCCCCCTGTAATGACTGGCCACTCGCTTCTCTCTTTTTGCACGACTGAGCGTGCTGGAGCAGGCACGGGCACCCCGAGGCTCTGCCCTGCGGCTGCCTGCAGCAGAGGGAGCAGGCAGGATGGGGCAGGGGCCGGTGAGTCTCGGCTGGGGCCCATGGGAAGGGGCTGTGGCAGAGCCCCCATCCTCCCCCTGTGGCCGGGAGGGGGCTGGAATGATTGACATGTGGCAGTCAGGGTGGGGGCCC